GCGGGAGGCGGCGGGTTGTCAGCGCGAGGTGCGGGCAGCGCAGGTTGTAGATGAGCAGGACAGGAGGAAGGTGGGGAGCTGGAGGGTTCGACCCGCTGGATGGCATGGTCCTACGTGATTGGGGTGTCCGTTCAAGTGGTGCGCAGTTTCCCGCTCTCCACATTGATCCGAGCATCCCAACTACGCGGCCAATCACTTCGCGGGGTAAGGATCGAGCTGGGCGGAGGGGAAGACGAAGAGTCCGGCATGGGGAAAATGCGCGCAGCAAGAAGGGAAGATGGCACGAGGATGCAAACCAAGAAACGGGGATGCGAGACGTGCGAAGAAATCGGAGCTTGGGCGCGTGCGCACAAAAATTCAAAAAGTCCCAACCGCACCCGTTTCTTGGTTTTCATACCGCGGCCGTTATTCGCCCGCGGGAGTTATTACCCAAACAAGATGAAAAAGCCGTTTCAAAAAGAAAAGAAAATCAAAAAGAAAGAAAACCCCTTTCTATCCGCGTCTGTACTTCGGGGCTTCAGCTGGATTTTTCCTCAGGGATCGGCAAGCCGTGCGGTATGGATCTGAGCTTATCACAGGTCGGCTAAAAGACTGGATACCACTTTTAAGAGGGTACTAGTGGTCAATGTATTTGGTCTCTTATTCCGTCAATGTTATTTGTCTCTTCTTCCGGATCTGCGTCTTTGGTCCTTTTTTTTTTGTATGAGTGTAAGTAGCCCCTACACGGGTGTGCTAGACATATTTTGTCCGTCGGGAATTTCCTTCTCTGGAATCTCTCGGCTTCATCTGACTTTAATATAAAATCTTCCTTGCTGCTCAGAAATAGAATCCAATCTATTAACTCAAAAGCGTTTAAACTGCAGGAGGGCTGCGTGATTGGAGTTTGCTTCGACGTTAAGGAAATGTTCACCAAGTTACCGCATAAGTCAATTTTGATAGCATTAGAGTGGATATGTGAGGTATTTAACAGACAAGGGCACAGGAAAGATCGGATGAACAGGACTGGTAAAGGGGCCTGTTTTTCAACCGGATTCGGAGAAAGAGGATGGGTGTCTATCAAGTTCTCTCTGCTTATCGATTTTGTTCATTTTGACCTTAATAATACATTCGTCTATGTCACTGACAAAGTTGTCAGACAATCGGTGGGAATCCCTATGGGTAAAAGCTCGAGCCCAACACTGGGCTGTCTACTTTGCTCATATAATGAGTGTATGTTCCTAGAGTCAATTGGGACTGACCGAAGGCACTTCTCTGGAATCAGGCTAGTAGATGATGTTAGTGTTTTTCTGCTCCTACCTAAGCAGAATGAGGATTTGCTGGCTAAAGCAGTATCCCTGCTGGATAAGTTCCAGACAGCTTACTGGTTAGGACTGACCAAGGGAAAGGAACGTGGGATTTCCTTGGCTGTTCGGTTAAGTGCACTTTCTCTCCGCCTGGCATTGAGTGCGTGGCTACTACTAAGAATCAAGACTTAGTCTGGACTGAGAATCCAATCCGTATCCAGTCTTCCAAGGATTTTTGGTCGTTCGGGCCAGCGTAGTTCAAAAAGGCGGCTGTCAAGTGTCACTTGCACAGGAACAGAGCCCACTCCTCATATCATAGGCGAATGGGCTTGACGCTGTTATCTTTGAGGCGTGAATAAAGGCTACGCGGGTTCCCCCGGCATTTGTTTTTTCAGGCCCTATGGGAAGTATCAAACGAAAACGAAAATGGGCTTGGGTTTTGGAGAGAAGTCCTAGAAATGGGGTTGGACGCAGGGTTTAAAATGGGTAAAACGTCCGGCGGGTATGCCAGGAATCTGCACAAAGGAGTGAGGGTGATAGGCGAGAGAAAGACAAAACGTAACTGAACAGGACAAATCGAAGAAATAATGGCCACGGCCCAGCCTTGTCCTAATATCCCCACCTATACGGCAGTCTCTCCTGCACGCAGCCCAGTGCGATTTGTCTTCGGATCTTCCCGCCTTGCTCTGTATCGTTCGAGCCTTGACTTTTCCACGCATGATGGTCACCTTGCTCGTGGTATCCGTCCTAAGACTCTTCTCCCAGGATCTCCTGTTCTCTGGCTTTGTCGCATCGACCTGTGTCTTGCTTTCAGAAGGAGATAATGCAGCGGATATCTCGGATCTTGTTCTGTTTTTACTTTCTCTCTCTCTCTCTCTCTCTCTCTCTCTCTCTCTCTCTCTCTCTCTCTCTCTCTCTCTCTCTCTATCTATCTATCT